TGAAATAAATTTTTTTCATCAAAAAATAAATAGTATATACCTGATAATTATGGTAAAATATTGAAATACTGATATAAAGTATAAAATATTTTGCTTTGATATATGAATTCTTGATAAAATAAAGGAAGCATGAAGATATAAGTATAAATAAATAAATTAAATAAAGATATATATTACATAGTAGTACTAGCAAATAACAAGACAGTATATTCATTTATCATTAATTATTGGTAAAATAATATTAGGATGAATAATAAAAGAAAAGGAGGGAAAAAAATTAGTGCTTAAGTAACCAACGAAAGAATCACGCATGAATAATTCCCGTGTCAGCACATTAACGAATAGATATAAATGGTCATTGTATGTACATTCGTGAATTCACGCATATATGTAATATATTTCTATAGAATGCTTATAACATATGCTAATTCTTATATATTAAAGCGTAAAAGATTGATTCGTATTTGTTCATTTTAAAAGTTTCACTTTTTCTTATTAATCTTATTTTATTGATTATAAACAAATTGAAATGTCAAGTATGATACTACAAAATTGTTAAAAAAGAAAAGCGTAAGAGTTAATTAGATTATTAATAAGTGATAAGTAACAATAATAACTAGTAATAATAATAATAATAATAATAAATATTAATAATAACAACAATAATAGTAATATGCTATGTCGGCTATTGCTATTTCATTATTGATTACAGCTGTTATTCATTTTTCTCATCGTTATCAACGTTAATTATCAATAAATGCTATTGTGATTTATTATTAGCTCAGTTTCTCTAACATAAACGGTAACCACATGTGGCACAAGGTTAAAGGTTGCATTTGAACATCAACATCTTCAAATCACTAATTTACTGTTTCATTGATGTGATGATTGGTACAGAGTCAAAATCTAGATTTGAATAGTAATTTTCTCAATCAAAACAATCTAAATTTTATATTTCATTAATTTAATAATAAAATTGTTCAATATAAAATTAGTCAGCTAGTTATGACTTATCGTTTAGAATGATTAATAATAAATATTAGTCAGGAAATCATAATGTAGCAAATCATTTTAGAATTTAATAAGTTGTTGGAACAAAAAAAAAGAAATCGGTGGGAAAAAAGGAAAAATAAAAATTGAATTAAAAGGACAAATGAAATAACTCTGAGGTATATAACTAATCGGGGCGGAAAGCATACATTAATTTCCTGGCGCCTCCTTTACCCCATTACACCCGTTCTCGAAGAAATGTGTTAAAATTCCTCTTCTTAACTAATTTCTTACTTAAGTTTATTGTTTATTTATGCATCTTTAAGTTTATTGTTCATTTCAATTGTTTATTTATTCCACATAAACAATATGATAATATCAAGTGATACAATTTCTTTAAATTTCTGAAATTACTACTGTTTAATATTATTATTATTATTAATATTATTATTAATATTAATATTATTATTATTATTATTATTATTATTATTATTATTATTATTATTATTAGCAGCAGCAGCAGCAGCAGCAGCAGCAGCAGCAGCAGCAGCAGCAGCAGCAGCAGCAGCAGCAGCAGCAGCAGCAGCAGCAGCAGCAGCAGCAGCAGCAGCAGCAGCAGCAGCAGCAGCAGCAGCAGCAGCAGCAGCAGCAGCAGCAGCAGCAGTAGTAGTAGTAGTAGTAGTAGTAGTAGTAGTAGTAGTAGTAGTAGTAGTAGTAGTAGTAGTAGTAGTAGTAGTAGTAGTAGTAGTAGTAGTAGTAGTAGTAGTAGTAGTAGTAGTAGTAGTAGTAGTGTAGTATAGTGTAGTGAGTAGTAGATAGTGTAGTAGTAAGTAGTAGTAGTAGTAGTTAGTAGTGTAGTAGTAGTAGTAGTATTATAGATAGTGTAGTATAGTAGTAGTATAGTAGTAGTAGTATGTAGTAGTAGTTAGTTAGTAGTAGTAGTATAGTATAGTAGTAGTAGTAGTTAGTGTAGTTGTAGTAGTAGTAGTATAGTGTGTAGTGTAGTGTAGTAGTAAGTAGTGTGTGTAGTAGTAGTAGTAGTAGTAGTAGTAGTAGTAGTAGTAGTAGTAGTAGTAGTGTCAGATATGTAGTAGTTGTAGTATAGTAGTAGTAGTGTTGTATATAGTGAGTGTAGTATGTGGTAGAGTAGAGTGTAGTAAGTAGTAGTAGAGTAGTAGTAGTAGTAGTAGTAGAGTAGTAGTAGTAGTAGTTAGTAGTAGTATAGTAGTAGTAGTATAGTAGTAGTAGTAGTAGTAGTAGTAGTAGTAGTAGTAGTAGTAGTAGTAGTAGTAGTAGTAGTAGTAGTAGTAGTAGTAGTAGTAGTAGTAGTAGTAGTAGTAGTAGTAGTAGTAGTAGTAGTAGTAGTAGTAGTAGTAGTAGTAGTAGTAGTAGTAGTAGGCCCTTACAGCTTAATACTTTACCTTTTCAATAATCTCTGACTTCACACAGACAAAAACGGATCAACAGACAGCTACATACATACATACACACATACACACACTCAACATCGTTCATTTCAATGAAGTGTTTGCTTATTTGCCTGTTCAGCCTGTTAAAATCGAAATTTAATATATTTCTATTTAGCTATAATGTCTGATTAGAATGAATTCTACATGTGTTAATTTAATTATAGATTTTGCTGCTATTATTAATCTTATAGTTTTAGATAATGTTTCCTTTATCGTTCCCTTTTAACAATTAATTAAGCAAAATGCATCTTTTATTTATTATTAATGTATTAATAATTGCCATATTTTCACTCGTATTTCACTGTTCAAATATAATTGATGAATGTAAATAACTATGGTAACAATATTATATAATACATTAATATGTGTTATAAAAAAAGAATTTTTTCCATATATAATTAATTACCTAATTCCTTTCTTTTCTTTTTTTAAAGTTTTTGCTTTTTTATTAATATGTTACGTAAATAAATTAGGTAATGCAATTATTGTTATTCTTTTTTTTTTTTTTGATTCTGTCTAAAAAAAATATTAATGTAGAAGACTAAAGTAAATGAATGGTTCATTTTTTTTCTTGTTGAAAATTTTTAATTGCGTAGTTTTATTTTTACTTTTTGCTTTCTGAATTCAATGTAATTATATATGTTACCATATATTATTATATTCATATATATACATATTTTCATCATTATTGTTTTGTTATTATCACTATTATCTAATCGTTCGAATACTTTTTATTACTCAATCAATTATCAACTTTCTTATCAATTAATTTACAACTCGAATGATCTGAATGATTCTGATGAAAATTTTGGGCGAATCATTAATTTTTATTTATAATCACTAATATGTTTAATATATATGTTATATAACATTGATAAGGCAAATATTTCCACCTTTTTGTTTTTCCTTTTCATCACTTTACACGAGTGGTTAAAATGATTAGCATATAACAAATAATTTGAAGAATTTAATAATTTCTATGCTAGAAGATAGGGAATTATTTTTGTTAAGAAAAAAAACTATAAAATAAATTGATAAAATGTTGAAAAGGAAAACTTTATAATTATTTGTTTCATAATTATCTCTAAAATTGATAATTTTGAAATATAATAAACAACAGACATAAAAAGAAAAAAGTGAACAAAAAGAAAGATTTAATTCATATTATTTACCCCTCCTTAGTTTTGAAAAAAACCTGGGCAACTTTTATTATTTTGTTATTTTCTTTTTTCCTCTTTATATCTTTTTTTTGTTAAAAAAAAAACCTTTAACTTAAGTGTTGAAATATTTTTTGCAAAATTCAACAACTTTTTTTTCATTGTGCAATTATTTTCCGGCTTTCTTTTCGTAAAAATATTGTGAAAATGATGAAACTATTTATTTGTTCCATTTAATTAGTCTGAAAAAATATTCGTTTTTGACTAATTTAAAAATATATGAGATTTTTGTGTATTTTAAAAGGAAATTTTTTTCTTTTAATTAAATATTACTAAAAAAAAAGGAAACGGGGGAAAAATAATGGACGAATGATTTAAAAAAGTGATTTGGAATGTATTTCTTTATGAATTGGAAGTGAAAAACGAATCGATCAGAATCTTTTTGAGACTAACTAATGGAACAGTTTTTTTATTATTTTGAATCAAAGAAAAAGGTTAAATGTTTTTTTTTTCTGCTTTTTTCACATTCCATTCTTATTTGCTAACTGTTCTGAAATTACAAATTAAAAGTTAAAAGTAAATTCAAATTTAAATGCAAACTTTTGCTTTTTGGTAATCATTATCCTGATTTCATATTGTACTTCTTTTTACGATTAAAAAGGAAAACAAGGAAGAAAAGAAAACGAAAAAAAAAACTTTTTCTTAAAAAACATTAAAAATATCATTTTTTATTTTCTTCTTTTCCCTATTTCCTTTATTTCAAACATACAATTCAAGGCGCAAAAATAACTTTTCATTAATAACGTAAAAAGCACCTATTTGTTAACTTTTTTTTGTACAAACAATATCTGTGTTAATCAGTCATTATTAATATTTCACAACTTTATTGATAATTTTCCCTTTTTTCTTTCATTTAACTTGAACATAAGTTATTGTTATTATTAATATTAAGTGTTAAAATTTTTTTGAAAATTATTCATCTCAACAAAGTTTAAATTGTAATTTATCTTTGTTCTTTTCTGTATCCATTCCATATTTAATCTTCTAAGAACACTATTTTAGAATTTTATATCAGACTAAAATTTTAAATGATATTTAATCATACTATTTATTATTCATTTTGTTACAAATTGTAATTTTAAATGATTTTTTTTTTGAACATATTCATATTACAATATTATTTATTAATTAGATAATTAATATATAAAAATATATTGTTGAGAATGATATTTTATAAATTTATCATTCATTTTATGTTATCTCTATCACATATGTTTTTTTTTTCTTTTTTTTCTTATATATATATATATAAACATTTTACGATAATTGATTTCATCACGTAGTTAAACGTAATTTACTATGGTAAATTTAGCTGGATGTCAATATGCAAATTGTAAACGATAGTTATTTCAAAGATGAACGATGTCGTATGACGTTACTTTCAAGTTCATCATCAATTGCAACCAATTTCTATATACCAATAACAACCGTAAATATGCAACCGAATCGCGCTATTCATAATTCACATATTCATTATCAAAATAAAAATGATAATGATAGTGATGATAGCACTAATAACAGTGGGAATAATAATAATAGCAGTAATAATAATAATGGCGATGATGATGATAATGTTGATGATCGTGATAATGATGATGGCAGTGATGATAATAATGATAATAACAAGGATAATGGAAATGGAAAATTGAAACAAAATGATAATAGATCATTTTTTGATTCAAATTATCATTATTTACAAATTGATCGAAATTCGATTAATATTTTATTAAAAGTTGCTGCTGCTTTTGTATTATTATCTATTGCTGGTTGTTTGGTGCTTCAACATTTAAGAATCAATCGATTGGATTATCGAATTCGAAGAATTGAACTCAATTCTGCATATTCCATACAGGTAGGGTTATTTTAATCATTCATTTCTTTCTTTCTTTTTTTTTTTTTTGCTTAAATTTTTTGTTAATTTTTTTTTTTTTGGTTACAAAATTATAAATTAAAATTAGCAAAGATTTAATACGAATAAATATATGTACAATTCTTTTGATTATTTTTGTGAGTGCTTAACTGAACATAGAATATGTAGCACTTTAATCAAATTGGAATTTATAGAAGTAATTGTTACTGGGAAATACAACTAATAATAGTATTAGATCGAACTTGGCCAATCAAATTATTTTAAAAAAAGCAAAAAAAAAAAACATATTAATATAATTGCATACTAAATTGCGTAATGTGTTTTATTCTGAAGCACTGAAAATTTTCCATCTTTTCCTATTTCAATCAAATCGATTTAATTTTTAATTAATTGAGATTTTTCAATGAAAAGAAAAAAGTCAAATTTGTATGAATTGGTAAAATTTTGACAAAACTGCATTTAAAAAAAAAGAATAATCTGCTAGAATAGAAATATTTGTCTTTTCAAAATATAGATTTTTAGAACTTATTTAAAAAAGTTTTCTTATTTTTGAATAAAGTAATCTATAGTATATGAAGATTTAAATTTCCATTTTCAAATGGAACAATTTTACATTACTTATTTCCTTTTTCTTGTTTTCTATTTTTGCTTATTTTACTTTTACTTGCTGGTACTACTTTAGTTGCATTTCATTCTTGTCTTTGTTATCGTACTATTTAAGCTTAATTTTACCAAATTAAAACTAGAAAATTCTAAATTTAAATACCATATTAAATTTGGAAAAAAAAGTGTTTTAAAAATCATTTTTAATACCTAACTGTATTCAATGTATCATTTTATTTATTGCATAATTTGTTTTTAATGTATAAATAATGTAAATAATTAATTATTTCCTTCTTCTTTTTTTGTTTTTACACTTCTCTAAATGAAAGGTTTTCAAACTTTACACAGTTGGAAATGAAAATAAATGAACATAATACTTATTCGTAATGGTTATGAAATCATATTTTTTTTATAATTTCATTTTATATAATCCCGTTAATTAATTTTTAAATTTAACAAATTCAGTGAGATATATTTATAAAGAAAGAAAAATTATTTTTTCTATCAATTTGAAAAAATTTTGCTAAATTCATGTCACAATTGTTTGTCGATATCTTATTTTTCTTTTCAATTTTTTTTTCCTTTTTGTTTCTTAAAGAGATTTCAAATTTTATTCAGGGATTAAAGGAAAAAAGAAAAAAAATAAATTCAAAACTGTAAAAACAGTTTTCTCCATATTTGGTTGCCATATAAAAAATCACTTTCAATGAGTGGTGAAGCAAATTGATGAAAAATGAGAATGAATAAAATTTAGCAAATAATTTGTTCCATTTTTAAAAACTTATGAGAATTATATCAAATTTATTGCAATTAATGATGCAGTAATTTCAATTTTACTACACTGGGAAAGTTTTAAAAATTTAAAACGAATCCAAAATTGGGTGATATTTCGAGATCGATGATAACATTGTTAAAAATTCAATTAATTAAGTATTTGTTTGTACTTTCTCTTTTTTTAAAAAAAATCATTTTAAATAAATGGGCAGTTGTATAGGAAGTAAATTTGTTTAATAATTTTAAAAGAATGAATAAATATAGCTATGCAATGAAATTGTTAGAACCAAAAAAAAAATAAAAATAAATCTTTTTTGTTTTGAAAAAAAGAAATTATATTGATAATGAAACTTCATATTTCTTGTCGATTATATTATGAAATTTTAATCATCTTCCTTATATGCATTAGGATGAAAATATAAATAGTTAAAATGAAATTTGAAATTTTTAAAATTCATAATAAACGTAACCAATTAATTGAGCTAAATTATATGAATTATAATATCGATAACATCATTATGTATAAATTGGTAAAAATAAAAATGTAAAATTATTTGTCAAATATGATCATTACTTATCCATAAAGTATAAAATTTATTACATTTTGTAAGATGAATAAATGAGTGATTTCTCTTTTTTTTTTTCCTTAAATTTCATTAAATATAAATATACAGCAATAATATAATTAATTGAAAGGTTTACATAAAAAAAAATGAAACTAAAAAATTTTGAATTGTCTTAAATCAGTTGTTTCATATGAGTAAAAATGTTTTCTCGTTTTTTCTTTCGTTTTATCTCTTATTAGCAAACTTTTTGTTGCTAAATTAATTGTTTCCGGAGATCATTTTGATTATTTCATCATTTCCTTTCCTTCGTTTTTTTTCATCCTCTTTTTATGGAAGATAAATTTTATACAAAAAGGTAATCTACATATTTTTCATCTGTGATGAGAAATTAAAATTTTAAGAGTGTAAGAAAAGAACGAAAGAAATTTGGAACTAATTAATTAGCTTAAATCATTATTGAGAAACTTATATAACATTGTGTACATTTCGTTTTTTCTCTTTTTTCGAACCAATTTATTATAATGAAGAAAAAAGAACAACTATTTGTTATATTACTTTTTTCCTTTCTAAATAAATCAATTTAAAAAACAAACTAAAAACTATCAAAGTGTATATTCACTTAATATATTTTTTCAAATGAAATATGCTTGCTTTTTTCCGTCCTTTCTTTTTGATGAATTGGATGAATTTAAATTTGAACTTGAATAGATTTAAATTTGAGAAAAAATCTTTTTTAGTATTAAATGGATGGTAGGAAAGGATAAGATTACCATCATCGTATGAATATGCATTGGATAGTATGAATGAAATGAAATGAACAAGAATGAATGATTGACAAGAAAGAAGATGATGATACAATGATCATTCATTGCGAATAAAAAAAAAGAAAAATTTGTGGATGAAATATTGATAAAAAGGAAAGATAAAGAATAGTTTGAAAGAAGGAATTATTTGGAGATAAGAGATCGAAAAAAAAGGCGAAAGAGAAAGGGAAAAAAGAAAAGAAGAATCAAAAGATTTGAAATTGAAAGAAAAAAAGGGTCAGTCAATCAGTGAATATATTAAAAAGGGAAAAGAGACAAAAAAGAAAGAGGAAAAAAATCCTTTTTAGACGATAATGATAATATGATGTAAAATATTCTTCTCAATATAATTGTATATGATGGATTAATTAATTCTTTTGATCTCCTTATCGGATCAACATCATTGATCATCGCCATAAATCTCCCTCTCTCTCTCTCTCCCTCTCTCTCTCTTTCCCTCTCTCCCCCTCCTTCTATATGGTTTTATTGGCGCCTCTCATTTTTCCCCATTTATTTTCATCAATTATTCATGATGAGAAAAAGTATTTATAATTTACAACCAATCTTTCTCATTTCATCTCTTCTTTTTTCTTCATTTCTAATTTCCATCATTTTTCCCCTCTCGCCTGGTCTCCCATACCATTTCTCTCTCTCTTTCTCTATTCACTACTGTTTTCTCCCCCTCCACGCTTTTTTCCCCCTGTCGTGCATCGTTTTCCTCTTTCCTCTTTTATTTACTATTATTTTCTCCACTCATTCATCTATTTCAACAATAATAATAACCAAAAAATAAAAATGAAAAGGAGAGAGAAGGACCAAAAAAAGAAGAAATGAAACAAAATAAAAAGGAAAATTAAAAAAAAAAAACGCAAAACTCACTTTTTATTTTAAAACAATATAGCTTTCCACTGGAAAATTTGTTAAACTATTTTTTTTGATGAAATATTTTTTGATTTTTTTTTTTATTAAATAGTTGGAAGCAATAAAGTAGAAAAAAATGATTAATAGTAAGAAAAAAATAGAAGAGAAAGGAAAAGATGGAATATTATTTGTGATAATATAAAATCAATGCTATCATATTTGATATAATATTGTTGCAATCATTCTATAATTTAATTAATTGATATAATTAAATCAAAATAGTAAGGGAGAAAAAAAAATAAGGGGAAAAACAGCAAACCGACTAAAAAAAAAGAAAATTGACGGAAACAAAAACGAAGAACAAGAAGAGGAAAAAAAGGAAAAATAGTGAAAATTTAATTTCTATTTTCTTCCTCTCATTAATACACTTTTTTCCATTTTCATAATAAAAAAATTTTTTGTAGTCCTTTGCTTCTTTTTTAAATAATTTTTTTTATAAAAATTTTCAAGAAAATATGAAAAGGACACCAGAAAAGATGTATTAAAAGTAGGAAGAAGTGTAAGAGAATTGTTTTAATAATTAATCGTTTGTTTATTATTAGTTTAATAATTTTATTGATTTGGAAAGAAAAAAAGCTAAATAAAATAATAAAATAAATTATTGATGGTGTAATTGATAGAGTTGAAATTTGAATGATTCTTAGACATTTTTGTTTTGATCATATATGAAATGAAATATGCCAGATGTAACCTTTCATTCATTCTTTAATATCCATTTATTTGCATAATCTCAGATTACCTCCATAACCGTCACTCGTTTTCACATTTTTGTTAGCCATGTTATTAAATAATGCATTATACACACAATACTTATATCAACTATATTTTACTTATAGGTAGTATATTATTAATTTACATGTTTTATTACTTATAAGTAATTTACACTTTTTTTATTTAATTATCTATGTATCACTTGTATTACCTGTACTTATAAGTTGAAAACCAAATAAAACACGTATATATATATATATATGTTTTCTTCATTATTTATATTACCTATGCTTATAGATTAATAATCACGATTATTTTACTTATAAGTAATTTATATAAATATTTTTTATTACTTATATTATTTATGTATTATATTGCTTGTATTATTATGATTACTTATGAGTAATTTATATCTATATTTTTATTACTTATATTATTTATGCTAATTATTATTTATAAGTAAACTTTTATATATTTTATTACTTACATATAAATTATTCATAAGTAATTTCTGTTACTATTTATAAATTATTTATTTATATTACGTTACCACACAAATGATTTGTACAGATTACTTATACAACTAAATATGCTTTGCTTTGTTGTTTCTTTGCTTTTTTTTTTCTAACGGCAATTAATACTCAGAATTTTGAAATAAATGGTGGAAAAAAAATAAACTTTTTTTGGAAAAACAATTTTTTGAAGGAATAGAAATTGAATAGAAAGCGCAAAAGCGAAAAGACTTTTCATTAGTTATTCTTTTCCTCAGTTGTAAAAAAAAAAAAAATGAAAAATAAAATAAAATTGAGCCATTCATGTGAAATAGCATTAAATTGTGGAAATGTTGAATGAAGATGAAAAAGAAAAAAAAATGGAACAAATAACTCTACTTATGAACATTAATTATATGTATTGTAATTTTGAAATCCTTAGAATGATTTGAAAATTTCAAAAAGCAATTATTTTAGTCCTTTCAGTTTTAACAAAATTCATTTATTTCTTTTACATTACTGACTTCATTGTAATATCATTTTTACTCAAGAATCTTTGAATTTTTTTTTCAAAAACAAAAAAGAGAGAAATCAGAATGTAATTGTTTGATAAAAAATAACAAAAAAAAAAAAAGAAATTAAAATTGAAATACTGATATTAAATACTGATAAATGATTGTTGCATGTATAGGTTATGATAGGAAATGAAATAATCAAAATTGATAATAATGATTTCTTAAAAAATTTTTTCAACTGATGTCAAATTAGTAATTACACTTAAAAATTTCTTTTCTGCATCCTATCATTAGCTTATTTCAGTTTAATCAAAATGAGTACTTTGACCGATATGCATCAAAAAAAAAAAATTGGAAAGTTTTGTGTGGAAGAAAAAAAAAGTTGACGAAAAATAAGACGGAATGAAAGTAAAACGAAATGAAAAATTTTTGAATTATCGTTTTTGCACCACTATATATTATCGCCTTTGTATATTTAATGATAATAAATCATTTGCTCATCAATTTACAATTTGCTAATTATCATCAAAAATATTGACAATAATAATAATAATAATAATAATAATAATAATAATAATAATAATAATAATAATAATAATAATAATAATAATAATAATAATAATAATAATAATAATAATAATAATAATAATAATAATAATAATAATAAATAATAATAATAATAATAATAATAATAATAATAATAATAATAATAATAATAATAATAATAATAATAATAATAATAATAATAATAATAATAATAATAATAATAATAATAATAATAATAATAATAATAATAATAATAATAATAATAATAATAATAATAATAATAATAATAATAATAATAATAATAATAATAATAATAATAATAATAATAATAATAATAATAATAATAATAATAATAATAATAATAATAATAATAATAATAATAATAATAATAATAATAATAATAATAATAATAATAATAATAATAATAATAATAATAATAATAATAATAATAATAATAATAATAATAATAATAATAATAATAATAATAATAATAATAATAATAATAATAATAATAATAATAATAATAATAATAATAATAATAATAATAATAATAATAATAATAATAATAATAATAATAATAATAATAATAATAATAATAATAATAATAATAATAATAATAATAATAATAATAATAATAATAATAATAATAATAATAATAATAATAATAATAATAATAATAATAATAATAATAATAATAATAATAATAATAATAATAATAATAATAATAATAATAATAATAATAATAATAATAATAATAATAATAATAATAATAATAATAATAATAATAATAATAATAATAATAATAATAATAATAATAATAATAATAATAATAATAATAATAATAATAATAATAATAATAATAATAATAATAATAATAATAATAATAATAATAATAATAATAATAATAATAATAATAATAATAATAATAATAATAATAATAATAATAATAATAATAATAATAATAATAATAATAATAATAATAATAATAATAATAATAATAATAATAATAATAATAATAATAATAATAATAATAATAATAATAATAATAATAATAATAATAATAATAATAATGACCATTTATAATAAAGTAATAAATATATCATTTGCATTGTAGAAAGCTTAATGCTAATTTTGCTTTAAAACAGTAATTTTTTCACAGTAATTTTTTCAAAAATTTAAATATTGGGAAAAATCATGGAGTGGACGATGAAATAGGGAAATTAGAGGTAAAAAAAAAACAAAAAAACGATAGCAATATTTTTTTCTTCCTATAAAGCCATTTTTTTCCCAACTTTTAAAATAACATTTTAAAGTTTAATGAAAGAAAAAGGGAAAAAAGAAAAAAAATGCAGCATAAGAACAAATAACATTCGTTTTACGATTAGTATTTCTTTTTTTCTTTTTTTTAAAAAAAAAAAAAAAAACAAAAGGGAAAAATTTGGCTGTCAAAAGATTATTTCAAAGCTTATAACATTTGTAAAACACATTCAGATAATTATTTTAGCGTTAGAAAAAAGAAAATGAAAATGAAATTTAAGCTAACCGAATATTGTTTCACTATAAAGTCAATTTTCACAATTTAATACAGTGAATGAAAAAAAAAACTTTAAATTTACACCTCATTTTTCTAATGGAGCAGTTTTCATAATAATATTATTATTATTATTTTGATAATGATATATTAATTAATTGATAAAAAATCTAAAAAAAATTAATCATAGTAATTTTGATAATAATAATAATTTTTTCTAGTTATCAAATGAACTGCGGAAGCAAATGTTTTGTTAAAATAAAAAAAAAAGATGAATTGGGAGAAAAAAAAAACAAGCAAGCAAAAATAAAAACAAATGTAAAAAAAGTATTTAAATCACTGTAAAAAAAGGAAAAAATTCATTTTCACACAAATATGATTAATGTAAAAATTTTAACTATAAATGATATAAAATTTTCTTTTTCAGTTAATTAGGCATCGAAGGTCAAAAATTAGCGATCCTAGCCGAAACATTCGGGAAGCTTTTAATAATAATCACAAATGTCGTTGTCCACCAGGTATATCCTCCTTTTATTTTTTTTTTTAAATAGATTTCTTGATATTCTATTATCAAATAATAATAATAGTAAGATCTTAATATTAATAGTTTTGTAAAATAATAAAAAAATAACATTCTTTCTTTTAAATATTTTATTTTCATTTTTCATTGCTTTTATTTTTTTAAATAAAACATTTGTGAAAAATGTGATTGCTTCCGCATTACAAAACTTTATTTTTACTTAAAATAATATAGATTGTTTCCAAAAATTTAATTTAACTGTTACAAAAAAAAGAAAGGAAGAAAATGAGCTCCCTTTTTTCTTTTCTTTCACAATTTTCCCCCACTTTTTCTAACTTTTTTCTCCCAGAATTCATCATATATTATCAGTAAATGAAGAAGCAATTGACGTTTCTTAGGAAGGAATTTAACGATGTGAAAATTTTGAAGTGCTTTTTAAAAAAATTTTTTTTTCACTTTCTTTCTCTCTTCCATTCTTTCCCCTTCACTTTTCTTCTTTTACTATCATTTTAACATTTTGTTGGTGATGAACAGTAAAATGGGCTAATTAAATTAAAAAGATGACTCTCATATTTTGAAGTACTTAGAATAACAATAAAATGAAAAATTAAAACTAACTCTTATGTTTTGAAGTAGTTAAAAAAACAAATTAAATTAAAAAACTCTTAACTTTTAAAAGAGGGAAAAAAAGAATGAATGCAGAGGTGGATATGTTTGAGTTAAATTTAGAAATGAAATTTTAGAACTTATAAAATTAGTAGAAAAGAATTGAAACTGGAAAAGAAAAAACGAAAAGAAAAAGCATGAATTCATTATTTTATTTTATTCTAAATTTTTTTTAGGTCAAAAAGGTGAACCAGGAATACCAGGATCAATAGTATGTTTCACTTTGTTTTCATATTTGTTACTTGATTACTTTTTTTTCTATTTCATAACATTTCTATGTGTATATTTGTTTTCTTGGTTTTATATATCACAAGCATGTTGAAATTGATAATTGTTTGTTTTCAAATGATTTAATAATACTGATAATTTTTTTTTGTTTTAATTTTAATTTAATTCAAAATTAAATTTATTGAAGTTATTTTTACATTTACAGTGGATGTATTGCATGATAATTAAAATATTGTGTTGAAAATAATTTAAATTTTGTTATTTGTGAAAATTGTTATTCCTTTTCACTGATAAATTGCAGCATTCGAAGCAAACATTACGTCGTCAATTACGATCATTTGGTTTTTTATATACACCTAGTGGACATGCGATACAACTTCGCGGTATATCGGGACCACCTGGGCCACCTGTATGTTGTTGTGTCCTTTCACATCCTTTTTTCGTTGTTTTTTTAATGTTTCTTTTTTTATTTGTTCAACTATTACTACCTTTGTTGTTAGTAAACAAACGACTATTTCATTTGAATGATATTTCCGTGTTTTTTTAAAATCTCCCACATTTTTTAATATATTCTCTATTCTTTAAATATCTCGCAAAAAGAAGTTAATTTTAAATGTGCTGTTATAAGTAAACAAATAATTCATTTATAAAACAATAATGATTGATTTTTTTTTTTTTTTCTTTTTGAGAAAATGAAAAAAAGAAACAAAATGACAACAAACGAAAAAAAAAACTAATCAACTCAGAAAAAAGAACACACTTTCATAGCTCGATCACTTACAACGACTGATGTGATAATATGTTTTTTTTTTTTTTTTTTTTTTTTTTTTTGCTTTGTGATAATTTTTTCTTCGTTTCAAACTTATCATTTATTAATTTAATTAAGCATGCTGCAATGTAATTATTCTTTCTAAATTTGCTGTCGTTTTCACAATTTCCTATGTTGTGTTGTTTGATTGTGATATTTTTTTCATGATTAAATTTTAGTATCTGTTTAATATCATTAATACTTTTTAAATTAAAAAGAAAAAAATTCATTTTAGGGACCAAAAGGTACACGTGGATATCCTGGTTTTCCGGTAAGCATAAAATTATTATCATCAAATATTATTTAAAATGTCAAGTATGCAGAAAAAAAAATTAATTTTTTCCATTTTTTTTTCTTTCCGTTCATGAATATGTAACATTTTAAATTAATAAATTAATTTTCATTTTTAGGGACCAATTGGCTTGGATGGACCAAAAGGTGTTGCAGTAAGTGATTAAAAATATTTATTAAATTCATAGCATTAAATTACATTTAAAGTAGCTAAACTATTAAATAGAAATAACAATTAATTAAAAGAAAATTAACTATAATTTAGAATGAATAAAATGAAAATAAATTTATTACTATATCATTTTAAATCATAAATATTTCCATTGATAAACATCAATTAATTATTAGATCAACCAATTAATATAATTTATTTGGGAGAGTAACAAACACAAATCTATAAATATCATCAACGCACTGCGTAATAATCTTTGATACCATCAAAAAAAAAGCAAAAATGGGAAATGCATCAAATTACCACGACACTTCTCTGCGGGATATCGTTTATAACAGAAAAGCTCTTCAACCGAATTGATAGTACCCAATTGGATTTATCGATAGATGGGGGGAATATTATAAGTATTACCTTTGAATGATTATTTTAATAAAAATTTGTCCAAATTTCTTTTTTTTTCATTTTAATTAATCAATCATTTACTAGCTTAAAAATTTTTTAAATAGAATAAAACGAAAAATATTGTAGGGCATGCCAGGACCAAAAGGCGAACGAGGTGAACGTGGTCCAATGGGACCACCAGGATATCCTGGTGCTAAAGGAGAACGTGGTTATTCGGCTGCTCTCAGCAAAATACAGGTATTATTTTGATCATATAGTAATATGCTTCATTCGATATATGTATCTATAATTGCTTAGAGAAATACTGTTTAATTATTAAATGATTAAATTTAAATACTTGTTGATTAATTAATTTTGATTTGATTCAATTTTGTATACTTTAATTTTTTTTAAAGGTGAAAAAAGAACTATTTGGAGAGATTTTAAAATTAGAATATGAATTTCTAACTTTTGTAGGTTGCGAAATGCTAATTTAACTTTTACAATAATAATTTTATAGGTTGCGAATGCTGATTCTGTAACGCCAGTGCTTATTCAGGTAAACTTCTGAAATTAATGCAATTTAAAATATTGTTTATCTTGACATTACAATAATAATAATAATAATAATAATAATAATAATAATAATAATAATAATAATAATAATAATAATAATAATAATGATAATAATAATGATAATGATAATGATAATGATAATAATAATAATAATAATAATAATAATCAGTGATTTTAAAATGTAGTTTTATCACAGGGTCCACCTGGTCCACCGGGAAATCCTGGTCCACCTGGTGATGTTGGTAAGCCTGGTCCATCAGGACCAAAAGGTGATAGAGGATTACCCGGTTTTGATGGTGAATCACGAGTTGGCATGAAAGGTGAACCTGGTATGCCTGGTATTCAAGGCAAAACTGGTCCAGTAGGACCACCGGGGCCACCTGGATTAAAGGTATTCTTTTTTTTTCGAGTTTCATAAGAAAAATTTTAGATTTTCACTTATTTTATTTTCAGTTTTGTTCTTGTAAAATTATGTGTTGTGACCTGGTGCCTCCTACTTTTTAAATTAGAATGGTAATTTATTATAAAAGAAATAAAGAAATATTTGTTTATTGCTGCATGTATTCGTTGTACTGTAAATACGTTGCATATAAAATAAACAATTAGGGAGAGCCTGGATCACCGGGACAACGTGGATTACCAGGTCTTACGTCAAAACATGTAGAGAAAAATCCGGAACCAATAATTGGTCCACCGGGTAAACCTGGGGCACCTGGAATACGTGGGCTACCAGGTATACCTGGTTCTCCAGGTGTTCCAGGAGCTAAAGGTGATTCAGGACTTCCGGGCAAAGATGGTGTTGAAGGAAAAATAGGAAGAATGGGCAATCCAGGTCAACAAGGAGTACCGGTAATTTATTTGCATGCAATGATTTTTTTTTTTCACTCGTGTTATTATATTTTCAAACTTCGAAGAAATTTGAAACCACATGATTTTTTTCTAAAAAATCAAAAATTTTCAATTGATTTATAATTTTGATTATTTGATAAGTCATGCACAAATGATTATAAGCATTGATTGATCTAAAACAGTGTTTTGAGAAAAATTAGTTTTCAGAAGGAAAAAACGATGGGATAAATATTCTATTGTGTTTTGATTAATTAATCATTTTGCAAATTATAAAAAATGATAAAAATCTATTTTGAAAACTAAATTCAAATCAAAATATGTTACAAAAAAGAAAGAAATTGTTTTCAGGGAGAAAAAGGTGAAAGAGGTGAAAAGGGAGAAAGTGGTATACAAGGATTACCTGGTCCGCCTGGTGTTGTTACAGCAACATCAGCAAGGACAACACAGGTTATTGCTGGACCACCGGGACCACCAGGACGAGATGGACGAAAGGGGGAAAAAGGCGAAAAGGTTTTTTTTCTCCTTTTTTAAAAAATTATCAAATAAATTGAAATTCTTCATTTGAATTAATGAAATAAAAATCTGAATTGTTACAAATTCAGAAACATAATTGTTGTCTTTCAAAAAAAAATTAATCCAGTCGTGTTAAAGTTTACAATTATATGTTATGTCAAGATGTGAAATTAACAAAAAAGGAAAAACTGAAATTTCTTTTTTTTTTTTTTTTTGTTTTTAAATTTTAAATTAATCGTATGCTGTGATAAAACTCACCGATTAAGCATTTTTAGTAAGATATATATATATATATATATATATATATTTTTAATAAGTAATTTAATAAGGAAGAGAATTCAGGGTGACATGGGTAGCAGAGGCCCAATAGGTCCACCCGGACAATCGGGTGCAAAAGGTGAAATTGGTAAACGTGGCAAAAAAGTGAGTTTATGCTCGTTTTGTTTTGTTTGCTTATACTTTTTTTCTTTCTTTTTTTGTTTTGTTCATTTAATTAAAAAAAAGAGATAAAGAAAAAAGTTTTTTTGAAAATTTTGAAAAATTAAAAAATATTTCTTTTTTTTTGAAAGAAAAGAAAAAGCACTTTTTTTTTTATTTCTTGTTTTACTAACTAATGTGTGTGTAAAATTAATTGGAAAATATTGTCTATCTACATTGTATGTATATGATAGTTTTGTTGATTTAATTTGCATAAATAGTTTGTAAATAATTATTAAAGCATGCCTTTTGCATGATTATAATATGTGTGTTTTGAATTTTTTTTAAAAAAAAGAACAAAGGGAAATTTTTTTGTCTATTTAAACAGCATGTTAATATTTACTTGACAGGTAAGGTTTTATATTTTCTCTTTTTTCTTTTTCTTTTCTGCTTTATTTTCTAACACTAAAATTTGCTTCAAAAAAACGCAAACGTAGTTATATATATGTAGTTATAAAAATAATTATAATATTTTTAGGTTTAAAATGATATATTAATTGCTAGTAGTTTTTAAGTTTTTTGTTCTTCGTTTTTTTTTTTTTTGTTTCTTTTTTTTTGGAAAAAAAAACGAAAAAGAAATGTTTAGTAGATGAAATTAATCATTTTGATATATAATTATTCAGGGTAGAGATGGTTTAAATGTGAGTGAGGAAAAACTAATTGAAAAATTATTACCAATGTTGCAACAATATGCACGAGTAGATGGTTTACCAGGGCCACCAGGTCCAATTGGACCACAAGTAAGTTTGAGAAAAAAGAATTTCTTTTTGTCGGTTTTTTTTTTTTCGAAAATCTAAGTTTGATTTAGTTTCTTCCATTTTGATATTAAATGACATAAAAATTATAGGGTCCAAAAGGTAATGAAGGACCACATGGTGAACGTGGACCTCAAGGTTTACCGGGTCATGCTGGTTCAAAAGGTGAACGTGGTGAAATTGGACCACCTGGTTTAATTGGTCCACCAGGATTACCAGGACATTTAGTAAGTGTAATTAGTTACCTAATATTGTTTAGAAGAATGTATGAAAATTACTTAAATAACTTTGCATTCTGAAATTTCTATATTTTATCTTGTTTTCTTAAAAAAAAAGTAGTTATAAAAACGAAAAATACTGATTGTTTCTTCAGTTCAACTGAAAGATTTTTCAAAAAAAAAAAAAAAAAATTTCAGAGCACTGTAATTGAAGCGACTGCTTCATCATCATCACTTGGAATTCCAGGACCACCCGGGCCTCGGGTATGGATTAAAACAATGCTTTGTATTTTTGGTTTATGAGAAGCATAATATCCGAGAATTAAAAGAAATAGATTTTAGGGTAGTCCCGGCTTACCTGGGCCACCGGGTATGAAAGGTGAAAAAGGTGAACGGGGATTAGCAGGTGTTCCTGGATCACTTGGTTTGCCCGTATGTCTTATTTTTACATTATGTTATTCCAAAATATTTAATAAATTTAACTTTTTCATTTTTTCAAATTGAGTTCTAAAAAGGAAAAAACTTTCCCTAAATTTTTATTTATGTGCAAAATTGCAAAAAAGAATTGGAATGAAATTAAATAATTCAATACCTAAACAAATTTAGGGACCACCCGGACCGATGGGAATAAGAGGACCACCTGGAATGGAAGGCAAGCAGGTGAGAGGAAAAAAATTAATTTAAAAATTTGAAACAAATGTCTGATTTTAGTATACAGTTCTTTTCATTAATATATTAGCAAACTATTTATCAATAAATAGTATCAGTATATCAGTTGCCATTATTATCATGTAGAATTTTTTTAGTTGATTTATAAATAATTTTAAGTTGCTCAAATTGCATTATTTACAATTATTTACAATAGTAATATATTGGATTTTTCAAAATTTAATCTTTCAACTTTTTTTATTTCTCCTTAAGTTCTCACGATAGATAAATAATAATATTCATTGTTTAATTCATCATTCAATAATTTCTAACAGCAATCTTATATTATAATAATAATAATATTATTATTAGTAATAAATACAGTATAATGTAATAATAATAAAAGTATAAATGAACAATTAAAAAAAGAATAAAAGTAAATAAATATTTTAATTTTTATAGAAATATTAATCTCTGTTTAAGCAATAAATTTTTCACTTGCAGCAGATAGATATTCGCTGATCAAACTCTTTCATCAACTTATCGTCATCATTTTATATGGTGACATATGGATTAGTTACAGAGTTGTTTGATCTTTTTGTCCTCTTTTGGAAAAAAGAGTAAAAATTTATTACTGATTCCAAATTTATAAATTTTAATGTAATTAAAATAAATGATAGAAATATTTTATTTTAAATATTTGTGCTAGTAATATAATTTATATATATATATAATTTTGATTGTATGTTGTACCATATTTTTTTGAATTGCACAATTGTGTTTTGATTGAGCTTGCATAATTTGCATGGCATGGTATAGCAAGCTTAAATGGTTTTGTGATATTTCGTTTTTCTTTTTTCTTTTTTTTTGTTCTGTTTGATTTAAAATTCTAAGCAAAGATTATCTTTCCTTAAATTTTTTTTATATTTATAGGGTAAACCTGGATCAGTGGGACCAACAGGTTTGAAAGGCGATATTGGATTACCTGTATGTGTATGACTTGATTAATCGATTGACTGATTAATTAATAAATTAATAACTGTTAGAATTACTGACTATTTTGTAAAATGTAAAAATTATAAATAAATCATATATAAATTAACAGATTTAATTTCTTTAAATGTTTGTTTTTTTTTTTTTTTAAAGGAAAAAATAAATTAATAATTAATTATTCTAATGGTTTGATATTTAACACATGAAAATATTTCATTTTTAGGGTGCACGTGGTCCAGTTGGTGATCGCGGACCACCTGGATTACAAGGTGAAAAAGGTGAACAGGTATGATATTTATTTAATTTTTAATTAACAACTTGTACTAAAATAAACGGGCAGAAAAAACAATCTTGTAAACATTTAAAACTGTTGAATATTGCAGAGAAAAATAAATAAACATCAATATCCGATTATGGTATTTTAGGGTATTCCTGGTTTGGATGCACCATGTCCAACAGGACCAGATGGATTACCAATGCCATATTGTGCATGGAAACCACTTGATGTTAGTTTCATGTTATTCATTTGTTGAATTAAAAAGAACTCAAAATAAGTTCGATTAAATTCAATTAACTTAATTTTTAAAATCTGAACTTCCAAAAACAAGCAAAATAAATAACTACATAAACAATTGACATTGCATAATATTAATTATATTATTATAATTAAGTCAACAGGGCTAAATATTTTCAGCCAAATGTTCGAACGACATAATGGTAAGACTAAAAATGAATGAATTTAATAATTTAAAAAGAAAAAAAAAAGAACTACCATGCAATCCTATCATTGATCAACCATTTTTGTTAACAAATTTTTCTTTCTTTTGCTCCCTACTATTTCATTTTTTTTCCCTCCTGAAAAAAAATCTTTTTCCTTTTTTGCAACATTTATTATCATTTTCTTATCAAACTATTTATCATTCTCAACATATAATAATTATTCAATTCAAATATTTTGACAAATTTGTTTATTTTTTCATTCCTTTTATACTTCCAAAATAATTATATTTGTCAATGATAAAAGCTAAATCTTATTTATTTTGTACAATAAAATCATATTTACATTTAAGACAACAGCAAGTATCAATTTACATTGATATGTAATCAAAATTCAAATTGGACATTTAGATTTTCAATTATTGTTAAACAAAAATTATATTTGTTTATTTTTTTTTCTAAAAAAAAGAAAAAACAAGGTAGTAGTAGTAGAGAGGAAATACTTTTCTTTTAAATTTCTTATCATATGCAAACTGGAAATTTTTATAGTCAAATGAAAATGGTATAGAACGGGCTGCATTCCGAAAAAAGCGAACATCAAATTCAATTACAAATCGCATTTATCATTATTACTACAACTAACAAATATTTCTTACGCCTAACCAGACATATATCATTTCATTGCTGTATGTATATTTGTTTTTTGTTTATGTAAATTTTTTCCCGTTTTTTTCTTTTTACTTTTCTTTTTTTCTTCCTAACTTTTATTTTTTCTTTTTCTGTCTTCTCTCCCTCCCTCTCTCTCTCTCTGTTTAATTTGATTTATAAAATGCAGTGAGAATATATGCAAGAGAGTGACTTTACTTGTAACAGTAATTTAAAAATAAAGAAAGAAAAAACATAACGATAATATAGAAAAATAAAATTTTTATTTGGTTTAGAACTGATACATCAAATGATAATGATAGTAGTGGTAATGATAATAATGTTAACAGTGTTGGTATTATCATATGCAGAAACAAATGAGGATAAATTGAATTGGAGTGCAGATGGGTTTTGCTAAAAGAATCATTTATTGAATCTCGTGAAAAATATCGTGAATCATTCGAGAAAATATGCTGCATTTTGGACAGTTTAATTTACCTTAATTTTAAATTAGTTATTAATTTTAGCAATTTCCAGAACATTTGTTATAAATTGTCGAATCTCGTCTGGAATCGTTTTTTCCTTTTCCTTCTTTTTTCATTGTTTTTGTTTTGTTATCGAAAAATTTTAATCGTGCATTATTTTTCATGATGGAAATTTTTGAATGGATAATAATAATTTATCATTAAAATTCTTTAAATTCAGATTTATTATGTTTTAAATTTTCGAGTATTGATTCTATCACAAAAAAAAAGTAAATGAAATATTGCTATATAGATAATAATATGTGAGTGTTTCTGGAATTTTTTTTTGTTTGAACTGATATATTTTATTTTAAATACTTGCTGCTTGAATTATTCTTATCATTGCAGTTTATTTATTTGCATTTGAACAAATAGCAGATTTTATTCATTAGTAAATTCTAAAGATCATTAAAGTTTATTTTTTCTTATGAAAATGTAATTTTTTTTTTGTTAACTTTTTTATTATTTTAAATTCAATTTTTTGGAAAAAAAATGCCTCATATTTTCACTGTTTGTACGAAAATAATTATTTGTCCATGTTTTGCCTTTCACTCTTCTCTCTTTCTCTCTTTCTCCCTCTCTCTCTCTGTCTCAAAAAAAGGCCAATCTAAATTAAAATGTTTCAGAAATAAGTGATTTTTCATACATCGTGAAGAAATGTCAAATTTTAATTATATAAGATTTTGACTTTATTATATTATTTAAAAAAAAAAGTAAAGAAATAGTTTACAAAGCAGTTAAATTTCAACAATTATTATAACTAATTAAACATATTGTAAAACTTTTTACAATTTTTTTTTGCCATATTTATTGAATTCAAAATTTCTGATCAAAAAGGGATGAAAAATGAAAACATGTTTGAAAATTAAAAAATTCTTATTTGTTTTTTTGCTTTTTTTGTTTTTTATTTTTTTTAATTTAAGCGTGAAAAGCTATTTGTATAAGATTTGACTGTTGAATAATTATGTGCAGATTTTTTTTTAGTTTTTTATTTTGCTTTTTTTTTGTGCTAATATGAATTCAGAAATTACGTGTGATTTTGCATACGTAATTAACACGTATATATATATATATAATTGCTTTATTATTATTAAGTTGTAATTTTGTTAAAGAATGATAATATACGATATTTTATAATATTGTGATTCTGTCTGATATTTTCCAGTGATATTTATCCCAAAAAACGGGGAAAATCTTTTTTTTTTGATTTTTCTTTTTTTGAAGAAAAGATTTTTTTTAAATATAACAATTTGCGAAATATTTATTAGTGGGAAAAATATTTAAGGAGAAAAAAGAATGTTATAAGTGGTTGAAAATAGAAACTGAGAATCAATTTTTATGCTATTAAAAAAATAATGATAGCTATTATTAATAATAATTTGACTATAAATTTTTAAATAATTAATAATTTGACTATAACTTTTAATAAATTTAATAAAATAAGTGTTACAACTATTTTAATCAATAATTATTCATATACTTTTTCATTTTTTCTTTTAAAATTAAACATCTTCCATGAATTAATTTATGGCTGGTGCTAATTTTTTGTCTTTCGTTCAAAACTTTTCATTGTTTTCCTTTTTTTTTTAATCTCAAATTATTATATATTTTTAAAATTAATGTATATAATTGCTATTACATATGCCAAAACTTCCTCTCACTGCCCTTCATTTCTTAAAAAAAATTTTTGTTTTCATTTTCATCTTTCTCCCAAATAATTACATTCAATTATTGACTTCTTTTTTTCTTCTTCACATACCATATATCTGCAATAAAACTTTCCATATCTTTTTTTCTTATCAGTAATCGCTTGTTTGTTTTTTGCATTATCACTTTGTTAGTTACAGTGATTAATGATTAGCCTTGTAAATGATTAACATTTATGATTTATATAACGAATAAATTTAAGATATTTTGAATGTTAAACTAATATTATAGGTAATTTGAAATTTTAGTAATACTTTTTCACTTCTTTTTTTCTCAAAATAAATTTCATGGATAATTTATGTTTTAACATTCATTATTCATACATTTGATAATTATATTTTCTTTCTAACAGCAGTAATTTGTGCAAGAAAAGAAAGGAAAAGATTTTCTTATTCTTTTTTATTACTTAAAATAGTTTATTTTATATACATTATCCTATTCGAAGAAAATCAGTAATTCTAATTATTCGTATTGGAAATTTTGAATTTTGTCACTAAAAAAATTTTGAAAATAGTTCGTTTTTTTTTTGGTTTATAATTTTCATCAAAACTTATATATCATGCAATAATTATTATGAATCACTCATTTAATCACTGCCTTTTTCTAATTTAAATTTTTGAAAATTTTGAAATTTTAGGATGAATTCAAGTTGTCCGATAAATGTTAAACAATTTAACACGATGAAATATTGTAAAAAATTTGAAGAATAAATTTTTGGTACGTCGTTAAGATAAACAGTCTAAGTGATAAAAAGAAAAAAAAGCTAATGAAGATGGAAAGTCCTAATTCATTCTCAAATATTTGATTAATTAATTTGAGTTTTAAGCTTTAATTTATCATAGTAGGCCAAGTAAGTGTTACTTTTTTTCTGAATGTGTCTTTATGAAAATGTAAAATTCGTATAAACTACTTATATGATTTTGACTGTATGATTTTATTGTTTGAAGGTATCGTAAAATTCTATCAGGAATACTTACTAATGATAATACTATTAAAGATGATGGTATTTGTGGTAAAGTAATAGTTATAATGATAATAATTATTAATAATAGTTAATAATAATAAAAATAACGATAATTAGTAATAATAAATAATAATAGTAATAGTAGTAATTTGTCATAAATGTTCATGTTTTCCATGCAGCTTTTGTTTACTCTATTACCCAATGACTTTTTTTTGTGTTTTATCATTTGTTTTTTCAGTAAAAAAAAGGAAAGAAAAGAAAAGAAAGTAAAATTTAATTTAAATTCTTCATTACATTTATTTAGCGCATATAAAATTCAATTAGGATATTAAAAAAAAACAAAAAAAAAAACAAAAGAAAATTATTCAAGATTTTCAATAAATTCATTTCATTATTGACAATTTATACACAATTATTGTTATGTTTTTTGCTTTGCTTTTTTTCCCAAATTTTTCGATGCTTTCTTTTAAGAAATAGAAATTACTTATTATTGTTAGGTGAAAAGCAAAAATAATTCCTGTATGTTTTGGAGTTTTTTTTCTCGCTTCATTCTCACTAACAATTTTAATTCATTATACTAGAAAGTAATTTTAAATTTAAACATTGTTATGCTTTTATTTGATGGATGAAAATATTTGCTAGCAATAAATGAATAATCTTGAAAGATTAAATTTTTGAACAAAAAAGAAGGAAAAAAGTTTACACTGCTTAAAGAAATTTAACTAAATTTAATTCTGATAGGAATTTCAGAAACAAAAGGGGAAAAAAATGCGATCAGAGAATTATGAAAAACCTACTTTTTCATTTTAAGAAAAAATAACTTTTCTATCGTATCAACAAAAATAAAATAATATGTCAAGCAATCGTAAAATCTCTTAATAATTAAGATCCTTAATTGCAAATATTTACACAATAAAAACTGTAAATAAATGATAAATGAATTTCAATGTAACAAAAAAAAAAAAAAATTATAGTG